TATTACGGACCATCCATAAAAGACTTACAGGTAAAGGAAGAAAAGGAAAAGGGAGGGATGGGGACTCGAACATAACTGAACGTCACTTTTCAACAATTAGTCTTATGCTTTTTTAAATTCCTCTGCTGAAATGTTTTTAACTATCTAGGAAACTCCACAAGCCAATGACTGTTCATTTCTTTGGTCAATTGAACTACGCTTCACATAATCATTTTAACTAAAAATCACATAACGCAAGGTCAGATGAAACCCGTTTATGACAAAATTACACTGATTCCTGCATGTATTAAAGAATTAATAATATCTTGATGAGGATGAGGTCAAGCATTGTCATGAAATACTTGTATTCACTTTTGCATCTGAATAACTTTCTTTGTTTCCATATCTCATTGACAACATATTTGAGGCAATTTTCAATATAATAGTTATGATCTAATGTTTTGTTTTTATCTAAACTAGTCATAAGAACAGGACCATTTGATTTAGAAAAATATAGAAAACAAAGTTTTTGGTTCAAATCTACTTCGACGAAGAATAGTCGCTTGTGATTCATTTTCACACATTCAACTTGTTCTAGGATAAATTCATGTCTCATCACGTATAATTATATTACATAATTGCTATGATCTCTTAACAAAATGTCATCATAAATTCTAACTTGTTTTTACTTTTGTTTATCATTGAGTTGATGAAACATCGAATCTGATGTAAGTTTTCTCATCTTTACATAGTCGTGGATAATTCCCCTTATTGTATCATTAGAGAAGTCTTAGCTATAATTTCATGATAAGTTGAATCTAGATCATTGCTGATAATCTATCATATCAGTTCACTATTTACATCTGTCAGCTCAAAAAATTGGACGACCACATCGAGAATCATCGTTAACATCTTCTCTTTTTTCATGTGAGCGTTTTGGCCATCTTGCAATTGTTCTATATGATGAAGCATTAGGTCCCAATGCTGTTCTAAGTTTTTCGTGAATTTTCTTTGTATCAATTCCCAAAATAGTTCGAATTCAGTATTGATTTTTCAAAGCTTTTCTTTGTTGGAATAGGATTTCATCTGCATAAGAATATTAGAAGTAAGTCCAAAATAGAGTTATTTTAAACAAAACATTCTACTATTTATTCAAGTAGTAGACTCTTAAATGTTAACTTGATGATAAAATTGAATATTGAATGTCCAAAGATGAGTTTAAAAATATGACACTTTCGTGGATGTCCTTTATGGGTGGTCCATTAAAAATCAGCTATATTCATATTTCGCTTCGCGTTGCTTTAGATGTCATACGAAATCACGAAGTGAACACAACATGCATTGATTATTATCAGTAAAATTAATAAATGTCAAGTGTGACTGTTCACATATCTAGGTACATTCACAAAGTCAGCTTTTTTCTCTTTTCTAATATGAAATTTTGAATATAAAGGGGTAAGCCGAAAGTTTCTAAACAAAGTGTTTGATTATTTTTCGCGTATTTAAATGTATTGGATAAAAGTGAGAAATATTGTATAGAATTAAAACTTTGTGATCTCTTACAATATATGCTTAGAAGTTTTCAACAACTTTTGAGTATTGATCTATAAGTGAGCCTTTAAGATACTCAAAAAACTTTTTTGAAACAGAAAATATCTCAAATATACCTTGTTCTAGGTATGTCACAGAATTTTATCAAGTATATTGGAAGATGCAAAAATAACTCTCTATGAAGCGGTAATTTTTTTTCAAGTCATCGACATACAGTAAAAGTTTTTTGTGAAGTCTATGGCAAGAAAAATGGTTATTTTTCCATTTGTCGTCTTTTCAAACATAAAATGATCATCCGTCACAAGTCTTCTTTTTTTTAGCGGATTCAGTAAAACTTTTTATTCTTGCATCAGTTTGTAGAGAACAGATTACCGTCAAGTATTATGTATATGCATAGAACTTATTTGATATTCATAAGAAATAGATTTGTTTTCAAAAAAAATCAGATTTTTCGACTTTCTAGAAAAATTCTTTTTGAATCTTGCTAAGATTTACTCATAGTTCAATAGTTAAATGTCACAGCGAAATTTTAATCATATATTCTGAAAGAGTACAAAGTTCTCATTCGAATTTCACTACTTATCAATCTTTTACAATGCATTTAAATACGCAAAGAAAATAATAGTTACATCTTTTGTTTAGCAACTTTTGGCTCTTTTCTAATACATATTATATATATAAACTTCTTCATACATCAATTAAGTTAACCACTGAGAAATTCATATAATATCCTACTTTCACGTGCAGATGCACGAGCATTAATAAAACGGTTAAATGTTGATAATGGACATTTCTTTTTGACATATAATTGGCTATTATCTGTTGAGATGACATTTTCATATTGTTGAATTAATTCGGCAACCTTAGTTTCTTTTTCTTGTGTTGACGTGGATTCAATTTTATTTGCCACTGATAATTTGTGCTCTCTTGTAAAAACACTTTCTAATGAATGCTGAAGTTTTCCATCATTACTAAGTGAACGAGATCGTTGTGATTTATAAACTACACCATATGATGATGGTGGTTGACATCTTGATCTTCTGGAATTTTTTTCAGCCATTTCTTGGTTAAATATGTCTATAAGAATAACGTCATGATAATAAAGTAACAAAAGTTTATATTTTGGTTATCAGTGTCTGCGCTTTTTTTCTTGTATGACGAGTCCTTGAAAAAAAAATATACATCATTTTCAAGGAAAGAAAAATCTTGCCTTAGAAAATTTTCATAAAGTTCAGTAATAAATAAAATGATAAAAGATAAAAAAAAAAGCAACATGCAAAAAAATTTTCTTGGGTATCTTGACGAACACTTTTACCTATTGTATCTTTGTTGACATACCTTTCTCTTGGCATCTTACATTGTCATAATCATGTTTCATCTACTTAGAGTGACGAATAGAAAAAGAGTAGCATTTTTTTTTTCATATCAAATTCAGCAGAGAAAAAAAGAAGGTACATTTCTAGTACGAGAAATAATGAAGTGACATTTGTTTCTTCTTTTTAGAGTTTAACGTACTTTTTTTTTCAGGAAAAAAAAAGATAAGAGATCACGTTGTCACTAAATAAAATCGAACATAAGCATAATCAATTAATATTCATATTTAAGACTCGAAATATATTCAAAAAGAAAAATCAATCCATACACACATACACACAAACTACAAACAAAACAAACATTTTCTGACAAATGGCACTATGTAAAAAATAAAGGAAAAGACGATAATAAAATAAAGTATATTATATATGAGATGATATTGATGGATTATTTTCATTTGTTAATAAATTCCTTGTTGTTTGAATTCCATTTAATTCTAATTCTATTTTTTTCAATTGTTCTTGCTGTTGATGATGATGATGGTGATGATGATGATTATTGTTAATATGACGTGTATATTGGCCTGTTTCTTTCACTCTCTCAAGAAGACGAACTAAAAAATAAAATAACAAAATAATAAAACCTTCGAAAAACAAAAGAATAAAAGCTTACTTTGTAATTCAACTATAGCATTTTGTTTTTTAAGTTCTTCAATTGTTTTTTGATGTTGTAAATTTTTTGTTTTAATATTCCGAATATATTCAGTCGCTGCTTTAAGAACATGTGCACGAGAAGCCTTTAAAAAAGAAAAATTATCTTTTTTTTTTTAAATTCAAAATATCAAATCTCAAATAATTACCTTTTCACCTTTTAATGATGGAATAACATCTCGTAAATCACTGAAACTTCCTTTTATGTGATCACGTCGTTTTCTTTCAAGTGCATTATGATGTGCTCGTTTTTCAGCTTGATTTTGTCCATTATGTCGAATATTTCCTGTCATATCAACATCTTGACTATCAACATCATCTACTCCAATACTTGTTCCATTTAAATGATCATTAAACTGTTCAAGATCTAAATCTAAAGACATACTATCTAGAACAAAAAAAGAACCCTATGAAAATAATCAACGTAATAACAAAAACAATAACAAAAACAGAAAACAATAATGCTAATCGTTATCTATAGTTTCATCGTTATCATCAATGAAATTCTAAATTAAAAAAACAACAAATGATCTATCATATATGCAAATAATCTTTTTTTTTTTTTTGTTGCATAGAAATTAAATATTAAAAAGAAATATAGAATAATGTCTGATTGATCAAAATTAGAAAATTAACTTTAGTAGTAACTCGATCAATAAAAATGTACTTATAAATAAATATGATGAATTCTATGTACAATTGTAATTATATCTGTTCAGTATAAACCTTCAAAACAGGGCTAGACATATTCAATATATTATTCGTCCTTGAAAAATATTTTTCTGATTGTATTCGAAAGATTATTCATATAGTAACGATATATTTAATCATGGAGCTAAATGATTTTAGAGATGAAGTACTTGAGCATTTATTTGTCAATTTCTATTCTTCGTACTAAAATTAATACTCAAAGAAATCTTTTTATACATTATTTGACTTTCGTTCTGATTACTACAACGAGATTTTATTTTTTAAGAATAAAATCCTTGTGTGACATACATACATCACTCGCATATCAGTAATCCTTTCGAAAACATGTTTTTTTTTCTTCATTTTTTAATCATACCGTTGTCATAACTGAATTATTATCAAGTTCTTTATGTTTTTGGTCCAATCGATATAAACGTTCTTCAACTAAAGTCTTTAAAGAAAAGAAAATATCGGCTAGTTTTTTATTTTGTTTTAAATAAAGAAAAAAATTCGATCCTACTTTAGCTGCTGTAATTTGTTCACTAGTACCCGATATAATTAAACGAGTAAATTTTTTATTTTCTATATTATCAATAATTTTTCTATCCAAATTAAGACGTGCTTTTGTACTATCACGAATATCTTTTATATTTGAACCATTTTTTCCAATTATATATCCACAAGCATAATCAGGTATAAACATTTCAATTTGTTGATATTGTGGTAAGTCAGCAATTAAACGACGTATTTCAACTTCAGCTTCATAAACATGATGACGTTGTCCACGTATAATTAATATTCGATAATTTTCATTAAGAATTTTTTCATCATCTTTAGCAAATGCACAACGAACTGAATATTGTTGTTGAAACTAATCAAAACAAACAAAGATGTCATGATCTTATTTATTTTATTTTATTTTGCCTTACACGTTTGATCACTTCACCACCTTTACCAATTATACTTCCAACACAATAATCAGGTACTTGAATTTCAAGTACAAGATATTCTGAACGATTTAAACGAAGTTGTTCATCTATAACAAAAAAAAAATTGTTTTTTTCTTTTTGATAAATTATTAATCTAACTTTTTCGACGATTACGATACCAAACAATACCACCAATAATAATAACAGTACTCGGCACTAATAGACCGTAGAGAAAGCGACGATTGATAGAAACGAACATTTTTGCTTCAAAGATACTTGTTCTTTGTGCGATGAATCATTTATTCAATAGAAAAAAAGAAGAAGAAATCATCAGTGACATCTATAGAAATTTTTCTATATTTCTTTCTAATAAACAAAATTTCTTTTATATTTTATTTACATAAATCAAAAATATTTTTATTGGTGAAAAATTAACAAAACAAAAAAAATCAATTATCAGATCACATGCGATTATCTACCTGTTGGATTTTTCCTTTTCAAAAACTTGCATAAAAACATTATTGAATAACAAAAATGGTCCGAACTTTTGAATTTTGAGTCAAAGGAGTAGGATATTTTCTTTTATTCGACTTATTGTATTTATAATAACAATAGGCTTCTAGTAATTTTGCTCCCCACACTGCACAGGAGCAATACTTATGGGATGTATATAGGGCATGACGACCCCTTCATACCTTGAGTGTTGAGTTACGTCTCTGCACTTACAATACAATAGTTTAATCAGTATCGCGAATCACAATTAGAAAGAAGTGTTATGAGAAAACAAGCAGGAAAGACAATGCACAAAGAGTTTTTAAGACCAATAAAATTTACAAACAGATCTACACTTTATTCTTTAACAGAGTTAACGTGACTTTGTTCTTTGGTATCTAGACTACGATCATTTTTTTTTCATCTAAGGAACACTACAAAAAAAAAGAGCAATTCGATTTTATCTTTCATTACTTTAGAGAAGAACAGTGTTATTAAAATGTTTCTTGGTACTTTTAAAGGTTGAAGATATTCATATCAACGCTTATTGATTAAAAATATATTTTGCAGAAAGAATAACGATTCGAAAGTTTCCAGATATTGGGTCATTAAAAACTAATTAGACTTATACAACTAATATAATTTATCGACGAAAAAAAGATTTTCTCGACTGTTAAAAATATTATACCTGTGTCGATTCTTCCAAAAAAGAAAGAACGAAGTCGGCGTTAAATACAACTTATAATACTTCTTACGAACTTTTTCTCGTCAAAGGCAGTCACATTTGTGACAATTATTCAAAAATAAGTATCAAAGCATTGTGCTGAAGCTAAATATCAGAGATTTTTAAGCACGACCAGAATCATATAGTCGTTACGCTTTACAAAGCGAACAAAAATCTACTCTTTTATGTTAAGAAAAGTTAGAAAACTTTTACTACATGTTTGTTTTTTGAATGTTTAATTAGTAACAATAAGAAAAGTTTTCAATTATTATGACGGTGTCATACCTCTCGGTCGAGTCAACCCTAAAAAACTGTAATAATACAATGTAAATGGATCACAACAAAAATTAACTGGTTATCAACAATAGCAACAATTAATCCAGAATTAAAAAGCAGTTACAATTGTCAGGCATGTCTAACTATTAGATGCAATTAGAGCCCTACGGTCCCCAATAAACGATAGAATGGAACCGAGATAGAAATTTCAAAAAGAATTCATTAGTTATTCGATATACTACTGATAAATCATCGGTTTCAAGGACATTTTTTAAGAAACGAAATTGGAACTGTTTTTCTTTCGTTTGTTCCGATTCCGATTCCGAATAATTCCTAGAACCACACAGCTCTAAATACAACTATTTAAAAAAAAAGAATAATTACAGGGTGTAGCAAAAGATTTGCGACGCTTTTGTTTTACTTGTAACCGTATTGAGAAATATGATAAAAGATGCATCATTGAATGTCCTACACGAATCACAAGACCAAATTTTTATAACTAATCATGTGCATGGGAAAAATTATCATTACGAAACATCCATATCCACACTCAAATACTCCTTTCTGAAGTTGGTAATCACAAAGGAAATAATAGCTATTATAAGTGAGCTACATTCTGATCAATAATAAATCAACCTGTCCTCTTTTTTAATTTATAAGCGATATAAAAGTCTTCGGAAGAATGTCATAATCTACTTGTCAACAATGTAACATCTTGTTGACTTCAACAATATTTTTTTGTTCGCAAGATCAAAGTCTGGAGAGTAATATACATAAACCTAAACAAAGCAAAATCATTTTCTGGAATGTCCATTTTTTAATATTGTTTTTGTTTTTAATTTCGATAGAAAACGGGATAAAAACAAATTCATTCCAGCAGAACACTAATAAGTATGTCATAGAGTGATTTCCTACAAAGAAAAATAAAAAATTGGAACCAATCAGAGACCTAGTATGATCTTCAAAGCATATGGATTATTAGTCATCCTCATTTCAAATAGAAATGACTTCAACTGAAGATAATAAAAATCAGTACTGATCTGGTAGGAAGTATATTGGTTCTTTACAATGCCTGAAGCAATTTATTTTATCTAACATTGATTTGATTAAAAATGATCTTGATTGTCATTGACAGAATGAATTTGGTCTGATGCTTTTCTTATAGAAAATAATACGATGATATACTTGTTCAATCTTAACAGCCTATTAAAATAGCTATAAATCTATGGCCTAGTGAACCGAGTAGCACATTCAATGACGCATCTTTTATTACATGCAAAAATTTTGCTACACACCCGATATATGTAAAAAGACGAAGTCTATCATACAAATAATTAGAAAACCAAAATTCAAATTTCTTATCAAAACTATATGTAAGAACATTCTTAGAAATGTATTCAACGAATAATCTATAAGTAGTACGACTGATTCACACAACAATACCTGTGAGTAGCAATTCTTCTATAAAAATCTCGTAGTAGAATATCAAACTATAAAATACTTGAACTGTTTTGGAAGTCAATGCAACAAGATATGTATATCTATCGGCATGCAATTTCAAATGTTACAGTCAGGACTAGTTAGTTGATAATAATCGATCATTTTATGATATAAAGACAGTTTGTAGTTTTGACAGAACAATCATTATTATACATTAGTCTGATATCACAAGAAAGTTATTGCATATTGAATGTGACTAAAACATGCATAATTTGAATCGTTACGGTATTCTTGACTTATAACGTGTTCATTGCTTTAATTTCTCTGTTTTCGTATAATTCTATACTAAAAAGAACAAAGTTGTCTATGCATCAGTTTCAATATACTTCGAATCTTTTGATCAATTCAAATTAGCAGAATAAGATATTCATATAAAATTGCAAACTTACTTCTTAAGAACACGAATAATAAGTCAATTTCGCAAATTATTATCTTTTAATAAATTCATTTGTATATATAGTGATAGACAAAAGTTTAGAGCAATTATATTTTTGAATTTATTCTCAATAATAACAGCTAGGGAGAATCTGAAAAGGCATCTAAGTAACTAAAAGGATTCTCTACCAGGAGTTTATGAACTTAAAAACTTCAATAAAACTGCTTGAATGAGAATGTATGCAAAAACCCCAATGTCTAAAGTCAGTTTTACGGCATCCATTTGAATCATGTTAGAAACGGCTTTATTTCAGAGAACAAGATAATATGTTTCGCCTCTCTTCATCAAAATGCGCTTAATTTATAGAAGGCTCACGAAGCATTTGTCTTTTATTTTTATAAGAAATTTCAATGATTTCACCGTGTTTGACGCTTTGGAGCCTTCTATTAATTAAGTACAGTTCAATGAAGAAAACCAAAACATCTCATTTTGCTCAGAATTATTTGTTCTTCGCATTCAAACAGTTTTGTTGGAGTTTGTAGATTCACAAAATCCTAATAGAGAATCCTTTTTAGTTACTCAAATTCTTCTTAGCTATTATTATCGAGAAGAAAATTCAACTATTCTAAACTGATGTTTACTGCTTAGAAATTTAATGACATAATATCTTCTTGAAATTAATTGGAATTTTCGATATACTCTTCTATCAATAAGAAACCAATGTTGAAAGATATTCTTCTATTTGACAATTTTATTCATATCTTCATAAATGGAAAGAAAACGAAATGTTGACAAAGAAAGAAACATAGTTTAGTTAAGTATTGATATTTGCCAAGGAAAATAGATCCGAATGTTCGATTATGCATGATGAATGACATGACCTGGCATACCATCCAAATATTGTTGTAATATGACCATTGACATGAAGAAAAATAATTTCCATAGCTGACAGAACTCTATGAAATTTCCCATTTCCGGCTATATAGACGATAACAATTACGAAAATCATGTGAAAATGCTATTTTATTAAACATTTTTAACGAATATTTCCATTATGAAATTATTTTAATAACGTATTGTACATGTTAATTATCAAGCATTAACTCAAGAATCGAGACAATCAACATCAACATCTATAATTTAATCATTATTAAATGCTCTATACTTCTCCTTCGCCTATAATATGTTTTTACCGTTCATCAGTTAAAATTATATTTCATACATATTTTCAAGTTCATTCACCTTTAAATTAATAAATAAAATACACGTAAGCTTAAAACAAATACTATTCTTCATATTAAAAAATATTTTAATTATTTTATTATTATAATACAATAAATAATCATGTTTATTAATGTAATCGAATAAATGCATTTTTAACAAACACTTTTTGACAACTAGAATTAAGTTCAACGACTCTTGGGATGTGTCTCTTGATTGCATACAAATTATTTTATTCATTTCAGAAAAAGATCTTAGTCCCAAAGAGCTCATTCTCATCTCTTAAGAATACATTTACAATAAGACATTTTCTTCTAATTTGAAAACTTTTACTTCGAGACACTTGAGATAAGATTATGTATGTATTATATGATTCCATTTTAAGGATCAACACTGTTTTGTTGTTTTTCTTTGAATTTATACGTTGAGAAAAATCGAATATGTTCGATATGGTTACATACAAAAAAAAACATGAATGGATACAAATATTATCTTCTGTTTAAGTAAAAGTCTAGTCAAGATGATTTCTTATTAAAATATCCTAAAATATAGATTGAGCAAATCTAGTTTCAGCAACTATTCGTATGAATGTTCGATTCCACTGTAATTCTGAAAATGATTCAATATGTTTCACATAGAATAATTCTACACTTTCTTCGTTCTTTTCTGA